CAATCGTGTCTGACCGAGATCCTCGTTTCGTGTCTCATTTCTGGAATAGATTACAAGAAGCTTTGGGAACTACACTGAAATTCAGCACGGCCTATCATCCACAAACCGATGGGCAATCCGAAAGAACAATCCAAACGTTGGAAGACATGTTACATATATGCGTGTTGGACCTCAAGGGTAACTGGGATGAGCACCTACCTTTGGTGGAATTCGCCTATAACAACAGCTACCATGTAAGCATTGGAATGGCGCCGTACGAAGCTCTATATGGAAGAAGATGTCGATCACCTCTGTGCTGGACGGAGGTCGGGGACAGGAAATTGTTAGGCCCCGAAATCATGCAAGTCACTAGTGAGAAAATCCAACTCATTCAACAGCGAATTCGCACCGCTCAGAGCCGCCAGAAAAGTTATGCAGATACTCGGAGACGAGACTTGGAATTTCAAATAGGGGACCATGTGTTTCTCAAAATCTCCCCAACAAGAGGAGTAATCCGGTTCGGAAAACGCGGGAAACTAAATCCACGTTACATCGGGCCATTCGAGATACTAGAAAGAATTGGTCCTGTAGCCTATCGCCTTGCACTACCTCCTGAGCTATCTAATATCCACAACGTGTTTCACGTTTCAATGCTCCGACAGTATCTCCGTGACCCAGAACATGTCATCGATTATGAGAACTTGGAGGTTCGAGAAGATCTCACCTACAAAGAACAACCAGTGCAGATTCTCGATCATCGTAATCAAGTTCTCCGAAATAAGACCATACCATTGGTAAAGGTCTTATGGCAAAATCATCACATCGAAGAAGCAACGTGGGAAACCGAAGCACAAATACGAGCTAAATACCCGCACCTCTTCGAAGGTTAAGGTACGTCAAGTTTGAGGACAAACTTCTGTTAGAAGGGGAGAATTGTGACACCTCGAACGTTTAGTCAAGTCCACATAAATATTGTTTCACTTTAATATAAATTATGGTTGCACGTGATGATAAGATTATTAAATGAATAAATGTATAAATCTAAAATGGCGTTAGGTTATTAATTAGGATTATTATTTAAGGCTAAATTAACACAAATAAAATTTATAATACAAATTAAAGTTAAAAAAAAAGGAGAAAATAATAATATTATAATTAATTATATTAATAATAATAATAATAATAATAATATATAATAATAATGAGTGTGGTAGTAAAATAATATTATTTTTATTGATAATACTAGATTTAATTAATTAAGAATTAATTTAATTATATAATAATATTAAGAATCTGGGCTAAAATGTAAATTATATATATATATATATTTAATGGATAAGTGACAATCTAAGTTTTAATGAAGGAGATCGGAGTGGATTATGAAATTGGATTAGATTGCCACGCGTCGGCCTCGGGGCATTTCTACTTCGCTATAAATTGGGAAGAGCTGAACAGAAGCATAAGAATGATTGGAAATCAGTGAGGAAAGAAAGGAAAGAAAAGAGAGAGGGAGAGATACGCAAATAAGTTGGGTTAGTGGAGTAAGACTAAGGGTCACTATTAAGGTGAGTTATATTATACCTTGAGTTACCAAAATGTATTTTATTTATGTTTTGACTTACCAAAATCTATTTTATACAAGTTATATTTTATTAGTATATTAATAAAAGTTATGTTTTATAAAAGTTTTAGTTACGTGGTTTTATTTCTGAACCCTATTTGCTTAAAAAGAAACCCATGGATATGTTTGTTTTTATTTTAAACAATAATTGGCTATAACCTTATGTGAAAATATGTTTTGTCAATACCACCACGGGAGTCCCATGCCTTGGGGGACTTAAATAACCATTGGCTTAGTGATTGATCACTTTGTGGCCCAGTGTTTGTCATGGATCCATTGACTAGTATAGTGCTAGTCACTTAGTGATGTACCGTGGTTATAGTAATTATTTCAGTTTCTGACACTTAATTAAATTGTGTATTCAACTCAACTCAATTTATAATGTTTTAGTTTAAATAAATATCCATGGCCATTTTGTGCCCTCATAGTATAATATTTCTCACTCTGCTATGTGCTTATAGCTGTTACCCCTTTCAGGTGACGAGGTTTAGAGGGATCAAGATGGAAAATGAATCGCTACGTTATTTTTTTTTATTTTTTTTTTATTTCTGTCTTCTATTATTAAACTCTTGTAATACAGTGAAGCTCCAATGGCTATGTTTTATTACCTTTTAAGTAAACGGTTGGTACCCAGTTATTTATTTTAATTTATTTAATTTATCCGCTTGCGCTATAACTACAGAATTATCCGAATCACTTTATTTTAATTTATTTATCTTGTTATGACATTAAACCTTTGGGTACCAGGTTTGGGTCGTGACAAGCAGAGACTCTCTTCGTTTTGGAATCTCTCTTCGTCTTGGATGAACTCAAAATCCCTATTCATTGCTTGGAATTCCAAAGACTCCAAATGTGGTTTTTTGTTCCTCTGTTTTATTGGTAATGGGGTGTACAAAGTAGATTTATATAGGATTTTAGGATTTTTAGAGTTAAGATAGGTATTATTTAGGAATCCGGATCCTCGGCGGCCCTACTCGGCAGCCCCCCAAAACGACGTCGTTTTGGGGTTTTTTTTTTTTTTTTTTTTTCTTTTCTTCTTCTTCGTTCTCGTTTTCTCTCTCTTCGAACGGAAACCAGAGGGAGGGGAGGAGAGAGGGAGAAGAGGGAGGAAGGAGGAGGGAGGAGGCTGCGCAGCCGTCCGATCGTCGTCTCGCCTTGCCGGCCGTCGTAGCCGTCAGATCGTCGTCTCGCCTCGCCATCGAAGCTCGTCTCAGCTCGTCGCCGGCCGTCGCAGTTCGTCCCAAAGACTCCAAATGTGGTTTTTTGTTCCTCTGTTTTATTGGTAATGGGGTGTACAAAGTAGATTTATATAGGATTTTAGGATTTTTAGAGTTAAGATAGGTATTATTTAGGAATCCGGAGTTTTTTTTTTTTTTGAAAATTTGCCCCCAAAACGACGTCGTTTTGGGGGCTGCTGGGTTTGGCTGCAGGGTAGGGCGGCCGTGAATCCGCGCTCATTATTTAGAGTGTCCAAATAAATAAATAATATTTCAAATTTATTATTGGGGTGCTAAAAGTAATGGGGTGTTTAACCTACTTTTTGGGGTGCAAATAGAAGCTCCCATAATAGTATAAAAATAAATGGATAAATTACTTATCAGCTCTGTACTTTTTTAAAATTTTAATTTCTTATTTTCCAATGGTAAGAGCAACTCCAATGATCAATTGGTAAAAAAGATAACTAAAACTATAATTTAGTGAATAATAGTGCAAAAAAATTGTAGAATAGTAATGCTGTTCCAATTGTAAAATTGATATTTTTTAGCTTAATTTGGCAACAAGCCGGATATCCAACCAAACGACAGGCGTGCTTCAAAATTCTACTAAGTAGCACTCTTGGTGGTCGACCATGTAACATCCAATATTTTGAGGTATTAATACTTAGTGAGTGGTATTAATGGTTTTTTTTAATAATTTAATGGTGAGATTTTTAGATAAGAATCTAATTTTAAATTATTTATTTGTATTTATCTCATCTCTTTTATATCTACCATATTGTTATTTATTCTCATTTAATAATAAATCAATTTTTCTTACCATTCCCCATCACATGGAGAGAAAAAAACAAAACAAAACAAAACTGTGGGTACCCACAGTTTTCCCACCTACCACGCTAAACCACCCATTTCCTTTTCTTATAAATTGAGCCCCCTCTACTCCTTTTCATCCATCTCTCAATTTCATCTCTGTCTCTCATTTTTTCTTTCTTTCCTCCTACTTTCGACTCTCACTCAATTTGTGATGTAAATTTTAAGTTTAAACATAGAAATATTTAAAATGGAAGTTAGTAATTTTACAAGAGTTCAGAATTATTTTTGGAGATCTATGGAGCAATTTTAGATTTATGGTGACGGAGTTAATTATTTTGAGATAAATTCGGGTTGTATACAATATGTTTATTTAAATCTCTTTACAAAGAGTTCTCTATTTTTAATTATCCTCAATTTGTAATCCACTTGATTATTGTGGTTATTAATAGATTTTGTAAAATCATTTGTTGTCAAATCGTTGATATTCTGATCATTTGGTAAAATTTTCTACAAATATTTCTATGTTAAAATGATGATTTGTCTGACTGAATGACATGAAAATATTTTGTACATGGATCGAGTGTATCTTGCTAATTTGTTTACACCAATATGCCCGGATAAGCGTGGAGCTTGTGTAAGGTGGGTGAATAAATGAATTTGTTCACTGGTCAAGTACTGAGTAGGACCAGGTAATTGATCCTAGATAAATTATCATATATCTAGTTGATTTGTTGTGCAATTTGGTAGATTACTTGATTATCGTATCGTTGATTTAATGTCATAAATTGTTGGATTCCTGTTAATTTATTTTATACCTGAGCCTTCTATTCCTGTCGTATTGTATACTTCCCGATTTAAATTTTTTTTTAGGTGCGAAGCAAATTTTAACAGGGATCGAAATTGAGATTAGAAAGATTTATTAATATAGAGATTTGGGACTCGCCACTATAATTATTAAATTTGAGATAGTTGTAATATTATTTAGTTTAGAGGTAATTGTGCTATAGAATATTTGGAGGATATTGTACCATTTAGAGACAATTTTGTAGTTATTATTTTTTGGAGCAAAACTTGTACTTTTTTAAGGCTATTTTAATGTATTTAACGACCTAGGAGTGGGGCATTACAGACCACCGGTTATCCACCTAGTAGACCACTCGGTCATTCACTCGATAGACCATCGGCCTCCAATAATTGTTGCACTGGCAGCTTTAACTATAGGTAAAACTCATGCTAAATTTGACAGAAGATATAACAAAGGTATAATTTAGCAGCTCTGATAGCTCACTGTTAGAGATGAAAAAAGTGAACTATAAGTTATTTTATGGCAATAGCATCTCCAAAGTCTCACCGTTGGAATTGCTCTAACATTATGGCTCTTGACACTGCTCATTAGAATGGTATTAAAATATCCAAAAAAGGGTTACTTCGGGTATGATTTATAAGTTGACTTTTTTATTTATCAAGAAAAAAAGTGCAAAAAACAAGAATGATGTTGTAACTCAAATAAACTGATAAGCTCATCTTTTTAATGTTGCCAAAATAGGCCCAAATAATGTTATGTTACTTTCACATAAGGTATTTTTTAATGGCGAAATCACATTTCAATGGTGTAGTGAAAAAATATTTTCATTTTCATGATATTACAAGTTTTCTGCGTGCATGGTACAAGTTTATCATGTGTGTCAAAGTTACATCACAAAAAATTTCATATATAGTGTCCCATTGATTTGCTATTTCTCCTTTTTTTAATTTCCTTTTTTTGGTCTACTTTTTACTATATTTTTTAGAAAAATTGAGATAAAAAGATAGAGGCAAAAAATAATTACAAATCAGGAAATACTTTCCAAATTTTCAAAAGAGATGAATTTCTTAAAATTAATTGTAAAACATGGTATCATTAGTTAGGGGTTGTTTGGGGTGTCCTAAATAAGTGTACTTTTTGTCTTTTTAGACTAAAAAATTGAGGTTGAAAATATGGATGTTTGGGTTAACTTTTTGACTTTTTATAAAAAAATGTGTAATAAAAAATTGTAAAAATTGATTTGTAGGAAAAAATTCGAATTAGGAATTGTGCAGCCGTAATTGTTGACTTTTGGTGAATAGTATTAACTTTTTAACTTTTTGAGTAACTTTTTGACTTTTTAACTTTTTTACAAGTTCCCAAACTTGACCTTAATAAGATAGAAATACCCTTCATTGTCCTCTTCATTTTCCCCAATTTCTACAACTTCAACAATCACCATCATTGTCGGCCAACCTTTTCTAACCATCGCATCCTTTCCCTATAACCCATGTCCCCTTCTCTACCTTTCTTCCGTCATCGTAACCCCACCACCACTGCCACCACCCCTCTCCCACCACCACAACCCTTCTTTCCGCCTTCCACGGCGTTACCCCTCCTTTATCCTACCCAACTGCCACCATTTCTCCCCTAAGCTCCACTATCCTACCCAAAATAAAAATATTCAGTGTGTTTGGTTTGAATTTTTTGAATTAAGTTTTTTGAAAGCAGAGTTTTTTAGTTTTCGTATTTTTTTATTTTTAGTGAATGTTTTTAAATTTTTAAACATTTTTTTTTACTTTTTTAGATGCACTTTACTTAGCTGTATCTAAAAATTAAAAAATTTGTGAAAAAATATTTTTAAAAATTAATAAATACATAAAAATACAAAAAAAATGTACTGAATTCTTGTATTTTTGGTATTTAGTGAATTTTTAAAATATTTTTTTCATTTTTTTTTTTTACTTTTTAAGTATATTTATGTTAGGTATGTCAAAAAATTAAAAAAATTGCTCAAAATATTAAAATAATCCAGTAAAAAAAAACACGAAAAATAAAAAAGTAAAATTTTCTGAAAAGTATTTTTAAAGAATGATAACCAAGCATACAAATTAAATCCCAAAATCAAAACACTAAGAGAGAGAGAAACAAATCTACGGGTTGTGATTTGGTCATGAGAGTTATTAGGTACGGGTTAATTGGGGATGTGGGATGGGTCATGGAAGGTAGGAAAGGATAGGGGTTACGGTGATTAGGAAAAATGGGGCGATGATAGCGAAAAGGTAAGGGGGAAAAATTACAAAGTAGTAAGCCAACGGGAGAGTGGGTACGAGATTGATAAGGGAATGAGCTGGTTGGAGTAGGGGCTAAAATGGACATAGAGGGTAAAAAGGGACGGACGATTGCTAGTGAGGGTGGGAAACGGTGCCGCAGTCAACAAGGAGTGACTGCAGGTTTGAGGTTTTTTCAAAAAGAGGAGAAGAAATGAGAGGAGGGAAAACGACAATGCTACGTAGTTCAAATTTTGTAACTCAAAAGTGGTTTAAATGGCCAAAACGACGTCGTTTTGAGTACAGAACAACATAAAAATAGTCAAAACTGTGAAAACCCATCTTTTAATTATTCTTTAAAGAAAATTAAGTAATTAATTAATTAATTAATTTTGTCTACAGTCTATCTGAATTATATATTAGTGTAAAAGTTAGTTTTAAATTGACTCAATTCAATCACTAACAAGACATTATTAAGAATAATAATTTTGTGGGTGTTCAATATTTGTTGTTTATAAATTATTTTAATTATGATTCAATATAATAACTATTCTTACTAAATACACAACCACCAAGTATTGCCCCCCAAACAGCATCATTTGGCTTCATGGGCATTGTCTCAACAAGCCTGTATGCTTCGTCCAACAAACCAGCACGGCTTAAGAGATCAACTATGCAACCATAATGTTCAATCCTAGGCTCAATGCCCCAAGCTTGATTCATCCACTTGAGAAAATGTCGACCCTCATCAACAAAACCAGCATGGCTGCAAGCACACAAGACCCCGATGAAGGTTATCGCATCGGGCCTTGCTTCACTGGCTCCAGAGCATTGCATCCAGTGGAAGACGCGAAGAGCTTCTTCTCCTCGCCCTTGTTTTGCAAAACCCGTGATCATGCTTGTCCAAGAAATAGACGTTCTCCGTGGCATCTCAAGGAATACTCTATATGCTTCCTCAACCACACCACAACTCGCGTACATGTGTATGAGTGCATTGTTTAATGACACTAGCACGGGTTGGTTTCTAAAACAAAAAGTCGCACCGACGTATGAGTGAATCCACTTCCCCAATTTTAAGTTTCCTAATTCAGCACAAGCCGATAGTGCTGCAACCATTGACACCTGGTCCAATTCTATCTTCTCTCTCATCATCTCGCGAAATAAAAACAGTGCTTGCTTAGACCTCCCATTTTGAGCACAACCCGCAACCATGGTGGTCCATGAAATAACATTCCTCTCTGGCATTTCACCAAAAATTCTCTGCGCCTTGTCAATATCTTTACTCCTAAGATAACCCGCAAGCAAGGAATTCCACGTGACAACATTTCTCTCAGACATTTCATCGAACACGCGACACGCATTCGCAACACCAACTTTCTCACCAGCCTTAGCATACAAATTAACCAAATTGGTTTGAACAAACACATTGGAGCAAAACCCATTCGAAATTACTTTCCCATGAATCTGCTCTCCCTCTCTCAACAACCCAGACCTCGAACAAGCACTAATTACAAAAGAATAAGTGAACCCATCAGGCAAGGCCTGAGTTCTTTGCATTCGATTGTAGAGCTCGATTGATTTACACGGTGTTTCGCTCCGAGCGTGGCTTCTTAAGATTTGATTCCAAACGGTAGTGCTTGGGTTTTCAATCTGTTGGAAAATTCGTTGGGCGTTTGAGATATAACCTGAAGATATGTATAGATAGATGAGCTTTACAAGAATGAAATTTTTCTGGGAAAGGCCGTTGATGAGTATTTGGGTGTGGATTTGGGTGAGGTTTTTGACGGTGTTGCTGGTTTGCAAGAGAGAGAAGAGGTACTGTTGGAGAGCTCTGAAGCTTGTTGGAACGGCTGATCCTACAACTAACATTTCACAAATTTTTTGAACACAACTGATGACAATATGGCCTCCAAAACAAAATTAAAAATTATTACCAAATATAAGTTAAATTTTTTTTTTTTTTAACAAATTTTTACTTAAATCTCAGATCGCCCAAATATAAATCAATTTTTATAACAAAAAAAGAAAATAAATAAAGTGATTGAAGTAGAAATTAAATTATTATTTTTCTTACTCCACAAATCTATCTATCCGTCTATCTATCTATCTATATATTATTATAAATAAAAGGGAGTTTATAACAATGAGAGCTCTAAGAGTTTCAAAATCCCAACTTGATTATATTGATTTTTGATTTTTTTTAAATAGAAAAAAACATCAATTGACTATTAAAAATTAAAATTTAAAATAGCCGTTTATAACCGTTGTATTCATTTGAATTTATAACTGTTTATAGCCATTGTACTCCATCATTACTAATTTGAATATCTTCTACTTCATCATTACTAATTTGAATATCTTTAACAATTGACGGTTAATACCCGTTGTTCGGGGTGAGTCTTGGTTTCAAGACTGTACGGAATTAAGGGTTGACGGTTAATACTGGTTGTTCAGGGTGAGCCCTGGTTTTGGAATTCTCACGTAAATTGTGTTGCGGAACTCTAAGATGGCACGGGACTTATTTGACCCCTTTTCGGTATTTGGTTTTGGAATAAGGGTGGATGTGCAGGTGGCACACAGGGAGGTTACTTACCCCTGGCAGACTGTTTCCTTGGGGCAGACCACGGATGCCACTACTTGGGTATATAACTCCGGACGTGGGCATCCCTGGTAGTTACGGTTGGTAACACTTAAATATTTGACCAAGGGAGGGTTTCAAATTAACCGTTGCCATGCTTAGTGGTTGGTGAGTTAAATCTCTTTGGTGAGATTTCGAGTGTCATCTAATTTATTAAAATTACTGAAATTATTCTAATGGTTGTAATTTCTGTGTATAATTATATTGTTGTCTCATGTTTAGAATATTATTATTTTTCTCTTAAAAAGAATGGTAGGTTGGTTACGTTTTCTTACTGTGTTGCAAAACTCATGGCATATATTTTGTTGCCCTGGCGTTTCATGCCAGATTATGTCGAAGAAGAGACTGAGGCTGAAATTGGAGCTGCTGCCAATATCGAACCTTGGCTGACTTAGAGTCAAGATTTTATCAAAATAAAATCCTGTTATCCCTTGTATTAGGATTTAACTATGTTGTGACGTTGTGCGTGAACTTGTAGTTTTATTTTGTCGTTGGACTTTGGCTTTGTAAGAACTTAAAAGTTCCTAATTAGTAGTTAAAACTTTATCTAGCAAGTTATTGTTATTTAAATCTTATGATGTTTCAAAAAAAAATTTGGGACGTCACAAAAACGACGTCGTTTTGGCCATTTGAGCCACTTTTGAGCCACAAAATTTAAGCTACGAGACATTTTCCGGAGAGAAAATGAGAGGTGAATTTGTAATTTGACCAAAATTTCCGTGAATTTATAATTATTTTACAACATTCCATATATATTTTTATTACTTTCTTTTTTACTATCAAGTCAATTATATGCACTATAAATAAATAAAAATTAAAAAACGTAAAGTAGTCATTCAACTAAATTAAAACTCGTTTGAGAATTATTCAAAAAGTAAACAAGTTAAATTTAAATATATTTTGAATATTAAATTTTGAAATTAAATTTGAATAACTTACTACTCTACTCATTGACAATTCTAATGACCAATGTACCCCAAAAAAATTGAAGTTACAGAAACTTGAATCCAGAACAGCACATAGATAATGGCAGGATGCACCATAGTAGCATTTCCTGTAACTGCACATGATAAGTGTATATAGGTTTTTAATTAACAGCATGAAGTCATTACTTGCTCCATAAAAATAGCAGCCAAGTAATTTATAATTGAAAAAAAAAAAATTCACAAAATTCCAGAAAGCAAGAACAAGCTAAGTAATCTTCCATTGTGCCACTCAGCATCATCATCATAGCATCTGCAACTGAGTAAATTAACTGCAGGAAAAAGAGGTGAATCAAAAGAAAAAAAAAAAATCTTAAATTTGAACAATTACAAAAGTAGATTGTATAGTGATACACCTTATGCTGTGTTTGGAACTCAAATTTGTGGAGGACAAAGAAAAAGAAAGAGGGAAAGAAAAAAAAAAAAAAAAAGTGAGGAAAAAAATTATACTTTAATTTGAAATCTCAATGCAAATTCAAGATCCAAACACTAACCTAGGGAAATTTCAATATGCATATCAATATTTTTAATGAGGGATTCAGCATCTGCACACCAAGAGTAGGCCAGCAATGACATACTTAAATCTTACATATGCACACAAAAAAAGCTCATTCCTCGCATCTTGTGTACATGTGGACAGTGTCACTTTGCTCCGATCAAATCAATATATAGTAGTGGCTTTGGCTAATTTATTTTTGCAACAGTCAGAAATCAACAGATATCTCAAGCATGTCAACAATGAAGCCAACTAAGAAACAAGAAGTTATGCAGCAGAATGGTATAATAGGGCAACTTGGTAGTGACTTTATCATCAACCTAGGGATATCAATAACTATCTCAAGCTTGTAGGAATTTAGGGACCAAAGTGCATTGAATAGTTAAATTTATCGAAAAGATTGATATCTCACGGCAATAAATAATTCAAAATGTTGAGATGTTGGTCAAAAACAGAAAAGATTTAAAATCTCTGCCTCCTAAATGTGTTGATTCCACACCTAGAAAAGAGAATACAGAATTAAATGAGAATATGTGGGGACATAATTTTCAATATGTCCACATGGCGCGACCTTGGGCTAAGGTGCCAAGCGGCAGAATGTGACTGGCCTAGGTATGGAAGTGATCTATACCTAGACCGAGCCATCCAGCAAAGGACATGAGCCTAGTAGATAAATGAATCCTAGATTAGGTGTATTTAGGACTCTTCCGAGAAGTTAATCTTACTCCAAGTAGGAGATGGGAATCCTAGATAATATATTGTTTCTAGGGGGATCGTGATTGACATGGAAACAACTTTTAGGAGGTAACAGAGCACTCTATATAAAGGCAGACACCCCATGAGTAAGAGATAAGTGTGAGTTTATGCTTCAAGCTGTTAGAGCATTAAGGTTATCCTAAATCATTACTGACTTTATCATCGGAGTACCCTTCAAACAACCGGGTTAGTACTAATCTCCGTCTTGCAGATGTATATCTCGACAGATACATCTCAGCTCATCGGCTTTGTTCCTAGGATTCAAGGAATAAGATCTTGGTTGTGTGGTCAGATTTTAGCACACACATAATTGATCCCCATGCTTGTCAGCAACATTTTTGCCTAAAACGAACTCCAGCTGGCAGAAACCAAGTAGTTCCAAATGAAAACTCTATCTTGGGTGTAGAATATCAACAAACAATCTTGCATATTTTCTAAAATAAATTTAAAGTCTCCGTAACATATTTTCTATTCTAATTTATATGCAACTAACTACAAATGGTTCTGAGCTTGCCCATGCAGACAATGTTTGTTGGAAAGGCTTCTCTTGAAGAAACCAATGTGTACTCAAGAAACTAAGAAACTGGAATTGCCTTCTATATTGTTTTAATTTTGTTGGGCACCCTAAAACGAACCTCAATATTCGTTAACCGCTTTCACAACAACTAAAATAAGCCACGGTGATAACTGACACGCTTCATAAACAACCAACACTCTTGAAGAAAGCATGTCAGTTCTAAAGAACTGACCCTTTTGCCGGAAATAACATAAATTTTTTCAAAACCAAGAGCTCGATCAGAACCCACTAACAATCAACATTTTACTAATAACATGACAAGCACAAGATATCAAGAACACGCATGAGGGCATCTCCAACCCTTGTACTCAAACCTATATTTGGGGAGAAATTACAAAAAAAAATAAAAAAAATAACCCTAGGGTTCGACCCTTTTAACAAATTAAATCTTGAGTTTTTAATTTTATCAATTTAAATTCTAAATTTTGAATTTATCTTCTATCTAAACCATTTATCTATTTTCGTTAAATAAAATCAACAAAAAAAAATGGTATGCTAGTCATTAAAATCAATAAAAAATGATATTTTAGACATTTTATGTACTCTTAAATTGAGTTTAATAACTAAAATATTCTTTCAAATCAAAATAATGGGGTTTAAATTGACAGAATTAAAATTTCAAAATTTATTTTGTTACAAGTCTCATACTCTAGGATTTTTTATTTTTTTTTTCTTTTGTAGTGGTCCCTAAATTTGGGTAAAAACCAATACACTCCCCATCTCAAACTTGTATCAAATTGAGTTTTACCTTCTTTTCTTTTCTTTTTTGTTTTTTAAAACCCAAATTAAGGGAAACTCAAATGCTTACTCAAATTTTTCAATGCAAATAATGAAGTTTTTACTTAAATTTATGAATAATTTTGAGTTTGTTCATTCGACTGCTTCATATCAAATAAAGCTTCAAGCCAAATTTTTACTCAAATTTATATAAAACTTAAAGGCTGGAGATGGCTTGACATTGAAAATAACCTTAAAAAGTTTCTGGATCCAGAAGCACCCTAGTGTGAAGAAAAATAGTTCCTCCAAGCAAAAAAGAGCTAGGGGTAATAAAAGAGCCGATCAATTAGCTGTTAAAGCTTGGTTCGAAAATTTTAACTTTGCTCAAGCTTGTTTTGTTAAATTTTTGAGTCAATCTCAAACGAGCTCAAGTAGTTTGATATTTTTATATAGTTTTAGCCTTCGTTTGAAAAGAATTAATTTAGCTTAGCTTTTTTGCTAATTTAACTTGGCTAAATTAGCTCTATTTGAGAAACTTTTCGCTTTTTTTGGTTTGATGTGATTGTTGGGAGAACAAAAATGAAATAATTATGATTTGAATATGATATTTTATTTTATTGACTTATTTAGCCTATTTAATTTTTTTGTGTGTTTATTTAGTCATTTAGCTCTTCCCAAAATGTGTTCAATCTTGACTTATTTAATTAAGGAATTAAGATTGAACGATGCACTGATTTTTAAAGAAGAAAGACCAAATGAAAACAAAGAATCACAAGCCCTAAAAACCAGATCTGCAAATAATTCAATAAATAAAATTGAAGCAATATGAGTTGTCAACATGCCCTTGCCCATCCAGATTGGAGCAAGGATCCTCTAGAGTTTTTTTTTCCTAAAGTTTCCTAGAGTGGTGCATTGCATGGTTGAGATTTAATGACAAGTCACATCAATTTTTCAGCATTAAATCTGAACCACACAATACACTACTTTAGGAAACTTTAGGAAAAAAACACTCTAGAGGATCCTTGGTGTCCAGATTGACCTGCCCACCGCTCCCTCCGCCACCATACGACCAATCCTCCACCGCCGTCTGCCACACCGATTGCCACGCCTGCGACGGCGGCACGTGCACCCCCGGATCAACCCCACCCGCCGCCGGAGGATGATAGTACGGAACCCCAGTCGCCGTGGAGCCCACAATCTCTACCCCTTCCTCCTTGATCTCTCTGGGAACAATGTCGACCAAGAAATCGAAAATGTCGGTGCGAGTAATGGCGGTGGCGATGTCGTTGTTCTGGAGGGTTCGGCGCTTGTTCTCCTCGGCGTGGATCCATGATCGGATGGTGAGCTCGAGAATGAATAGCTCGCAGGCCTTGGAAAAGAGCATTGGGGCTTCGGCGGATATCATTCGGACGTCTTCGTCGGCTTTCATGATCTTCTTGATGCGAGCCAAAGGGAGCTGGTGGTTTTTGAAGTCGTTGACTTGCTCGATCTCTTGGCGTTGGTACGTCCAGAACATCTGCAGTTGTTGTTGTTGTTGTTGTTGGAGGAGGAGGTGTAGGTGGTGGTGGTGGTAGGGTGGTTGGGGTGGGTATGAGGAGGACTGCGCCGCCGTGGGTGGTGGCTGGTTGTTGTCCATTTTTTGGGTGGTGAGAGGTGGTGGTGGTGAGAAAATGTTGTTGCCTGTACTGTCGTGTGTGTTTTTGAAAAATGTTTGGGAGCACTAAAAAGGTGTCCGGATTCTCTGCTATACTTTCCTGCCATGCTTCTTGCAGTGTCTCAAAATGACGCCATTTTGGGGCAAAATTTCAAAAAAAAAATACTCACTCCCTGTTTGGCCACTCCGAAAAAAGTCCTAAATTTTTTCAACCATTTTTGTATAGCTCCACCAACAACAGAAGAAGAAGTGGAAATGGAGGAGGTCATCATCAAAGGTGTTGTTGAAGCTACAGTGCTGGAGGAGGTCACCGCCTGCAGTAACAAAAACGCCATTGTTGAAGCTGTTCAACAACTCTTATGCCCCAAATGTCAATATTCTACTACCATGAGGTTAAAAATAAAAAATTCTACTATATATATATGAAACCATCCCTATATATATATATATATATCTTTATATCCATACAAATCTACAATACATATATATATATATATATATTACAAATCATAGGCTAAAAAATATAATAAAAAATGTGAATGTATATATCAGATTTGGGTTTTGTTTGGCGTAAATTCAAAGTAAAATCAGACTTTCAATGTATGCACTGTTGTTACATATAGAGAACACAAGAACAAAAAAGTCCTTTCTCTCTCCATAATTAACCCAACAAATGCAAAACACAAACACAACACACAAATTCTTTTGTATTGCCAATTTAGGGCTCATATCCAGTGTAAATTTTGGAAGTCTGTCATTGTGGGAGAAACCCCAAATCGAAGATGAAGAGAGAGAAAATCAAGAGAGATTTTTGTGATTTCAAACGCCAAAAGCCCTAAGGCGGCACCTTAGTCACTCAATCTTCAACATCATGACTTTCTCTCTCGCTATACATCGAATCAGATCTCATTTAAGAGAAGACAACCCACTCAAGCCTCTCTCTTTGTAATCATAGCCATTATTGGATACAAATCGAGAGATTTATAGACATGTAGAGAACAAGAAAAAAAGACAAGCATACCAAAGCTTTCTCAACCCTCTCGAACCGATCTACCGGCAGTGAGGCGTCTCGCCTCTCTGTCGTTCTTGTCTTCTTTCTTCTTTCTCTTCTCTGGTTTTATTTTGTTTTATTTTATTTTTTTTTGAAATTTTGCTTGCAGAAAGCATGGCAGGAAAGAATGGCAGAGGATCCGAACTCCTAAAAAGGGATTACTAGATGGAGTACTACTAATGATGTGGCAATGACGTCGTTCACTTTTTATGCCTTATTTTTATTTATTTTTTATTATTTTTGTCATTCTTACTATATTAGTGCTATTAGTGATAATTTTTTAATGGTCTAAATCATTGTTGTGTGTTTTTTATGTCTTTGGTTTTCTGGGAAAATGGTTTCGGGGACTGTTTGTTTCGATGGAAAAAAAATTGGGGCGGGGAGTTGTAAAATAGGGTTCCATTTTTCTTTTCTCTAAATCTTGTAGGCAAATTACAAATAATTCTTTTAATTATAATTCATTATCGTTTTATGCTTTTAATTAAAAAATATTAGCATATCAATAAAATAATATATTATTTAATAAAAATATGATCATTATATTTAATTTTTTTATATTTTATAAGATAAAAGTTAAATAGAAGCCAATCAATTGGGATTTTTTTAATTGTTTAAAATTTAAAAAATTAGTATAAAATATTGATCATAAAATTTCTTACTAAAAATCTCATTTTGCTTATATAAATGGGAGTATAAGATTCACTTTATATAAATGAAACAATTTACTTTTTTCTTCTTTTTTCAATGTGAGATTATAAAATAAAAGTAAAATGAAAGCTAGTCAATGAAAATTTTATTAATTGTTTAAAAGTTAACAATTGTTTGGGCAGAAAGTTTATTTTGAATCAAACAATCTTAGCCGTTTAATCTTAAATTAGGTCAATATTTAATTTATTTCGAATCAAACAAATTTAACTAATATATTTTGATAAAATCGCTAAAATCGCAGTTAAACTAGCGAATCAGTCAAACCGAAAACGGTTCACCCTATCGGCTAGATCAAAGGACCAACCAATTTATACAAAAATTAATTAATTAAAACTTATTTTATTTTAATTTTAAAATTTAAACTGTCTTGAACTGAAACATATACAACACTGCAATATTAAATGAGAGCATAAGGCTTATATAGTGAAATGACTTATTTTTTTCTCATTTTCCTGATGGGCGATTGTAAAATAAAAATTAACAGTTGTTTGGATGAGAAGTTTATTTATAATCAAGCAATCTCAGTTGTTCAGTTTTTAATAAAGTCAATCGTAGTTTATTTTAAATCAAACAAATCAAAGCAATATATTTTAATAAAATAGCTAAAACCGTGGTTAAACCAGTGAATCAGTTGATAACGATTCAGCCTAAGCGGCTAAGTCAAAAGACCATCCAATTTACAACAAAATTAATTAATTAAAACTTAAAATTTCATTTTAAAATTTAAACCGTCTTGAATTGAAACATGAGAGTATAAGATTCACATGTTTAAAATTTAAACCATATTAAAATGAGAGTATAAAATTCACTTTATATAAGTGAAATAACTCATTTTTTATTTATTTTTTCAATGTGGGATTGTAATTTTTTTAAAGTTAAATATTATGAGAGTTTCAAAATCTCATACAAAATTATTTTTAAAATCAAAACGTTTATGTGAGATTGTAAAATAAAAGTTAAATGGAAGCTAATTAATGACCATTTTCTTAATTGTTTAAAATTAAGAAAATAAAAAAAAATAGTATTCATTACAGGGCTTCTCATTAAAAAAAAAATAATTTACTTATATAAATGGGAGAATAAGATTCACTTTATATAAGTGAAACAATTCATTTTTTCTTTTTTTTTTCAGATGTGGAATTGTAAAATAAAAGTTAAATGGAAGTTAACCAATGGGGATTTTTTTAATTGTTTAAAATTAAGAAATTTCAATAATTTATATAAATTAGAGCATAAGACTCACTTTATGTAAATGAAACAATTCACTTTTTTCTTTTTTTTTTCCCGATTTGGGATTATAAAATAAAAGATGAATAGAAATTAGCCAATAAGAATTTTCTTAATTATTTAAAATTAAGAAAATTCAATAATTTTGGAATGAGGGTTTGGAGTTTCTAGAAGACTTCTTCCTTAAAACTCTTTTTATATAAGTGAAACAACTCACTTTTTCTTTCTTTTTTCGATGTAGAATTGTAACAATTTATATAAGTAAAACAACTCACTTTTTCTTTCTTTTCTCGATGTGGAATTGTAATGAGTAAAATAAAACCACTAAAATCGTAGTTAAACTAACAAATCAAGCAAATAAAAAATGATTTAGCCTGATCGACCAGGTCATAATTAATTAATTAAAACTTTTAAAATTTAAATTATATTAAATTGAAACATGCATAACACTATAATATTAAATGAAATAAGAGTATAAGATTCACTTTATATGTGTAAAATAACTCATTTTTTTCCTTCTTTTCTCGGTGTGGGATTATCAAATAAAAACTAGCCAATTGAGATTTTTTTAATTGTTTAAAATTAAAAAAATCAAGAAAATTAATGTGAAAGCTCCTCACTAAATGGGATGAGAGTATAAGATTTATTTTATATGAGTAAAACAACTTATTTTTTTCATTTTTTTCCCAATGTAGGATTATCAAATAAAAGCTAGCAAATGAGAATTTTCTTAATTGTTTAAAAATTAAAAAATTCAATAATTTTAAAATGAGGGTTTGAAGTTTCTATAAGGCTTCTTCCTTAAAACTCCTTTTATAAAATCCATTTTATATAAGTAAAATAACTCATTTTTTCTTTTTTTCTTTTTTTTTTCCCGATGTAGGATTGTAACATTTTATATAAGTGCAACAACTCACTTTTTCTTTATTTCATCGATGTGGGATTGTGATGGGTAAAATAAAACCACTAAAATCACGGTTAAACTAATAAATAAATCAAATAAAAAATGATTTAGCCTAATCGGCTATGTTATAATTAAGTAATTAAAATTTTTAAAATTTAAACTATATTGAATTGAAACATGCACAACACTACAATATTAAATGGGATGGGACTATAAGATTAACTTTATATGAGTAAAATAACTCATTTTTCTCCTTTTTTTCCCGATGCGAGATTATCAAATAAAAGCTAACCAATTGAGATTTTCTTAATTGTTTAAAATTAAGAAAATCAAGAAAATTAGTATGAAATATTGAAATTCTCATAAGGCTTCTCACTAAATAAGATGAGAGTATAAGATTTATTTTATATGAGTAAAACAATTCATTTTTTTTTATTCTTTTTCCGATGTGAAATTATCAAATAAAAGCTAATCAATAAATTTTTTTTAAGTATTTAAAATTAAATAAATCAAAAAAATTAGAATGAAAATTTAGAACTCTCATAAGCATTCTCACTATAAGGCCCTTTTTCCTTAATACTTTTTAACTTTGAACTACATGCAAGGAAGTAATTGGGCATGCAAGGTACATTCCAATAGAAATCTCTATCGAAATAAAGAGTACAAAAAAATGGGACTGTGCTAACCTTTTCAGTTTGAAATACTAATAGGATGAGTTCGAGATTTATACTTTTAACCCAATTTAACTTGACTATGTCCACCATTAAATTATTTATTTATTTATTTATAATACATTAAAATTAGGCAGGGATTGGGGATTACACTCCCCATTCACGATCCCTGAAGGTATAAAATTTCCTATCTCTGACCCCGATCCTTGGGGAACCCATCACTCCCCCGCTCCCACCCCTTAACAGGGATCAGGTTTTTCCAACCTCGAAAAATCCCAACTCTTTTTTATTTTTTTTTTAAATTTTAAATATCCCATTTTTTTGTTTCATTTTTTTTAGGCAAATAAAAATAATATATAAAAAAGCATAATCCAGCAATATAGACATAAACATCTAAACAACAATAGCATGACAAACCAAATACAAAACAACACTCACACCACAAAAAACAAAAACAAAACAAAAAAAAAACAAAAACAAAACAACAACAACAACAACAACAACAACAACAACAACATCATCCAAAAAACACATGTTTTTTTGCTTAAAAAAAAAAAAAAACACTTGTGAATTTTGCAAAGTAGCATGCATAACCAACATTATTAGCTAAGTTAACTTTTAAAATCAATAGGCATCTCTCAAAGGCATCTCTAAAATCCCTAGAGAAACACACGCGTGCACGTGCACACACACATATATATAGAGGAGTATAATAGTAATTTCAGTTTGGGACGGAAACGGGGACGGGGCTGGGGCTGAGGCGAGGGAGCCTATCATTGTCCTCGGCCCGAAATTGTCGGGGATTCATTTTCAAATACCATCCCTGGCCTGTCGAGGGTATTTTTTGAGGAAAAATCGTTCTAATCGGGATTGGGGGGCCGGGTTCCCGTCGGGTCGGGTTTAAATTGCCATCCCTAATTAAAATGTATATTTTTGTTAGGATTTATATTTTATTTTTGTTGATTTTATTGAAACTCACATTTGTGATGATATGTAATTGAATTTATTTAAGAAATCCTTCAATTTATACACAAAATCTTTCAATTTATAATGATATAAATATATTTATTTAAGAAATATAATGTGTGATTGAATTTAATTATGAAATATATATATATTTTTTAACATATAACTTGATGGGTGGGCTTGCGATTTATAATTTTTTTTTATTTTTTTTATTTTTACTGGACTTGGGTAAATATAGAAGTCCAATGTAAGGGTCGAGTCAGATTTGAGTAGACAGAAAATCTCTTCTTATATAATACCGGTTCAGTCTGATGTTTGTCAAACCCTAGTGATGTGATAACTTATATTTATTTTTTGGCTAAAAACTTCTCTTACCAAATGGATCAAAAGAAAATAAAAATAAAAAAAATATAAGAAAATAATTTTTTTTCATATTCTTATTTATGCTTTTTTTTTCTTTTTTTTTTTCCAGGGATTCTTAGGTCTCGTTTGGGAACATGTTATTTTAGTAATTTTTTGAATTTTTATGAAAAGATGTACAGAAAAATTAAAAAAATAATGTGACAACTTATAATTACTTATTGACCTTTTAACTAAAGTGTATAGTTGTCAAACGAGACCTTACTTATGTTTTAGTTAATAAGAAAGTTGAGAGAGACATGTTTAACTTTTCTCTCCACCATAAAATTTTGGGCAAATAACAGGACAGCAGTATTGAGAAAGAGCAATTACAGATAAATGATCAATATTAATCATAAAATTCATAAAAGTATTCATGAATTTATAATAATTTTTAGATATTACCACTGAATGGTAATTTTACCTAAAATTTTCCTCAAAGCATGTCTTATAAAAAAATATAAGGATAAATTATATTAACTTCCTTTTGAAATTTAGAGAAAATATGATAAGCTTTCAAGTTTTGAAATAATTACATCAAATTCTCTTATAATTTTAAATAACAGTTTGTCATTTTTATCAATAATTTGTTAGTTATATGAATGAAAAAAGAGAGACGAAACAAGATACCAGAAAATAACATCACCACAATAGTTATTCCACTGCAAAAGTATATTCCTCTCTACCATCAAATGTTTTATGGTACCAAATAAATAGCAAAATTGGCCCATGAGTAAGGACGAAGATTCCCCATTCAAAATAATTTAAAAGCATAATCATTTTCCCGCCCTTACTTTATGTCACCCATTCTGAAAATATCTTTACTTTACAATTGTGAGATTTATTCAATTTTTTGAAAAACTTAAGAAAAATAAAAAGTAAGTTATCCAAAATGTAAAAATTGTAGGAAACCCCCGTTTGGTTTGGATTTTCAAAAAAGTTTTTGAGAGCCCAAAATTGAAAACTCATTTGTTTATGTCTGTTCTTGAAACTACTTCAAATTTATCTCTATTTCTAAACTATTTTAAATTTATTCCAATTTTATCTCTATTTCCAAAACTATTTCAAATATATTTCGGATTTATCTCTATTTTCAGAACTATGTAAAATATATTCTAAATTTATCTATATTCCCAAAGTTATTTCAAATCAAATTTATCTTTATTACCAAAATTAAATTAATTAAACCGATATTTATGTTAAAGTATGTGATACGTCATATTTTCAAGTTAATCAATTTTTTTGAAATAAAACTTTGTAAATAAGTTATTTACAAATTCATATAAAAATTTAAAACAAAATGAATTTGTATTTTGAAGCAATAAAAAAATATTTTTGAAAATAGTGAAAAATATATTATAAGGTTTAAGCGTATTTAGATTGAATGGATCTAAAAATTGAAATTTGTTTGTATATTTGTTAGTATTTAGTGATTTTTTAAAAGATCTATTTATAAATTTAACTGTATTTAGATTGAGTGGATCTAAATATAATTATTATTTTTTTTGGTATACTTGTTAGTATTTAGTGATTTTTTAAAAGATTTTTTCCATAAATTTTATACATTTTAAGTATATTTAGATTGAATGGATCTAAAAATTGAAAAATATTAATTAAAAATATTTAAAAATTTCACTACAAACAATAAAATATGAATTGAAACACAAAAACCATTTTTGAAAACTCCAAAAGTAAAAAAATTGACTAAAATACAAAAAAATATATTTAGATTAGGTGTATCTAAAAAATACATTTAGATTAAGTGCACAAAAATTCACTAAAGATAACAAAACATGAAAAATAAAAAGCTCAAAACCAAAGAAATTTTGGGCACTGTTTGGTTTAGTTTCAAAATTAACTTTTGGATAAAAAAAGTAAAAACATGTTTGGTTAACCGACTTTCAAAACTCTTTTCAAAATTATTTTTTCTTTTTTCTTTCTCCTCTCTCATTCTCTTTTTTATTTTTTTATTATTAAGAAATCAATTAATCAATTTTTCTTTATTTTCTCTCATTCTCTCACATTCTACACGTCAATCAATTAAATTTTCTCTCACACCCATCTATTCAACTTAAAAAAAAATAAAAAATAAACTATAAATCATCCTAAAATTATTTTCAAAACTCATAATCAAATAAATTTTCAATTTTCAAAACTATTTTCAATAACTTATATTTCAAAATACAACTTGAGAGGGAAATTTGTGCCGAACAAATGGACTGAGCTAAACCTAGCACGACCTTCATTTTAGAACTCATAATCGGATTAGCGCGTCGTCTCAGATGTTGGACCAAGTTGGGTGATGAACTTGGGTTGTGGGCCAAGCCGAGCCCGTGCCTTGATAATCGGCTGGACTAAGCTGGAATGAGGCCACAAGCATGGATCAGGGCTAAGCTAGAGCAAGGCCACAAGCATTGGCCGAGTTAAAGCTAGAGTGCGGCCACAAGTATACGGTGAGTTAGGCTGAAGAGGTCCAAAGCTAGAGTGCGGCCACAAGTATACGGTGAGTTAGGCTGAAGAGGTCCATCCGTGTGGTGAACAAGCGAAGTTAGCTTGGCTAAATACAACGGAGAGTCTTGAAGAGCATTAACCGAACTAGTGAAGTCAGTTGAGCACAAGTCAGTTAGGGTTAGTTTATCATGTGGACAATTGAAGTTAGATTGGCTAAATATGGCTTGGTCAGAGTTCGCCACGTGGCCCAATAAAGCGCATGGAGGAGAAATCGCTCAAAGTATGCGCTAATATTGTTTGACAGTTTGGCCAATGTTGTTTGGAAACATTGATTCGCACACGTGTGAGGAAATGAAAGCGTACATCCATGCGTCCAGCAAAGGACATATGACATAGTGCGCACACAATCTTGGAAAACAAGGCAACAACCTAGATGAGGCATATGACTTCACTCAGAAAAGGGTAAGAATCCTATCCAATTCACTCTCTCTACATTCCTTCATCTCCTAAGGGTGCTAATTTAATTGTCGGAGGGATTTTACGGCAAAACATTCGTCGGGTAGCTCACCTTCGTTTTTTTTAGGAAGCAAGATGCCGTTTGAAGTAATACGAGCTTGGACGCAAGGAGTACCAATGTGACGAATATTTCTTACCTATACACAACTCAAAACTCAATTCAAAAACTAATCTAAATGGAGCCTTGGTTTTTTAAATTTCCAAAGAAAAATTTTGATTGGCTATATATCTAATAATATAGGGCCCCAAATATATAACCAAACAAATTTTTAAATTTTGCAACTCTTTTCAAAAAGTTATTTTTCAAAATTAATTTTGATGAATAAACAAAATCCTTTCTCTTTTAATTTTTTTACTTTTTTAGTTGTTGTAAGCAGTATAATATTTATAAATGTGTTTTCCGTACATATTCCAAAGAAGTCGATATGTCCGAGTGGTTAAGGAGACAGACTTGAAATCTGTTGGGCTACGCCCGCGCAGGTTCGAACCCTGCTGTCGACGGTTTTAATATGTTTTCTTAAAAATTTCTCTCCTCTGACTGAAAAGCTAGGGGTGTGTTTTTTTGGTTCACTCGAGAAACCCTGACGCTAGAGCATTCTCCGACTTCAATCGATGGAAGAGAAGAGCGCGATCTCATTCGCGAAGAACACACAAGAGCTGGCAATGAAGGGCCAGAAGCATCTAGAAGAAACGATCGAATCAGCTTTCCAGATCTTGTCTTCCATGAACGACGAGCTCTGTAACCCTACCTTGTGGTCTACATCTCCTTCCTCAAGTTCTATCAACAATGGGCATCATCTTTCCACTTCTCACGCCTCCAATGGCGATTCTGCCTCTGATTCGGCTCACCACTTCGAGATGGGCGGTGCTGGAGCTCTCGATGAGGCTCGCCTTCGCTTCAAATCCTCTGTCGCCTCTCTTCGTTTCATTCTTGCTGCGATTCCCAACTCTCATAAGGTAAATCAACAATGGCTGAAATATCATATCATTTTTGGCTGCTCAATTTCAAAATCTCACACTTGAACTATGGAAAATCGTACGAATGTTCTCTTTTGAAGGATGAAATTGATGCAATTTTATAGTTGATGGATTAAAATCTACAGTTTGTGATGCAATTTTATATTTGATGGAAATGTAGGGTTTCAAATTTGAGGAGTGTTAAGCTTATATTTATGTTTTTTTGTTAATGTCTGCATTGTGTTTGGTTGCTGAGATAATTTGGGAAAATAGGACGAAAAATTTTGTGTTTCGGTGTTGTTGCTGGTCGGAAAAGTAATGCAAAACCCTGCTTTCTCAGTGGATGTTTGCATTAGGCTCTAGTTTTTTTTTGGGTCTTGGAGCTTGAAGCTTCACTTCTTCTAATGGATATGATATGAAACTTATATCTCTTCTAGATGCAAATTTGATAGTTTCTTGAATTTATGACTATCTGTTGATAAGAATGACAAGAGAGACACGGGACTATTTTCTGCATTTAGTAATGCATTATCTTAAATAGTTGTGTAATTTCACGATTCAAGATTTTGAAAGGTAACTTGTAGCATACAAACTCAGCGCTCCGGAAGATGTTTGGGTCTGCTTTTTAAATGTCACTTTGGTTATCACAAAGGTGATCTGCTTTGTTTGGTCAGCGGAAAGGGCTTAGTATTTGAAGTAGATCATTAGGGTTGTGCCTTGAGAAATGCTAGAGACCCATACTCTTAGACCCACCAATTCGCACACAATAATGTGGCAAGGGAGTTGAGTCCTATATCATTGGGCATGTAACAAATAAAAAGTTGACGCCTATCGTATCACATCATTGTGGGTCGAATTTTGGGAGCTTTTTGGGAGTTTCAGACATTTTCCGTCATGTCTTTCCTATGAATGTATTATGTGTGAAAGGCTAGCTCTTAAATTTTGAGGTTTGATGATTGATACTGTAAGTAACTCTTTTGTTGAATTTGAGTTGGTCAATTAGGCCAAGTTTGGCATCCTTAAAATAATCCATCTTTTTATCTTTTTATTTTTTTTCCATCACATCATCTCTCTACTTTTGTCCACATCTTTTCGTAAAAAGACAAAAAGTACACTTATTTAGCTCATCCCACAACCCCTAAGTACCAGAAATAGCAGAAAGAAATTGTGCAATGAGGCATTTTATGTTACTTTGGATTTTTGAAGATATTTGACATGGGTGGGGTCAATTGCCAAGTTGGAATTTGACATTCATAGAGAGTTTTTCTCTGGAAATTTTTTGAAGTAGGGAGTAGGGGCTTCTCTTTTTAGTTTATTGGATAGCCTGCAATGTGCTTGTGGTTTTACACACGTGTTTGTGTATATCTTGCAGGTACAAAGGTTTATCTTTCGAAAATGCTTTTGCGTTCGTTAGAGGAGAAGTCTTTTGACAGTTTAGGAAGTCTTCCATGAGTTTATAAAATCTACATTAGCAAGGCGGATGGATAATGAATTTGCTGTTAACAGTTGAAATTAATTCTCTTTCGCCATTGTGGTTAATCAGGAGGCTACAATGACATCTTATTTGGGAGTTGGGGGTGTGGTGGTTTGGGATATTCAGTTGGTGGAGTTGTGGGGTTTCTTATATGGTTTGGGTCTTACTGGGGTGGGGTCCGATGTTATCGTGTGGAATGGGGTGGGGACCAGTGGACAGTTCACAGTTTCTTCATTCTATTGGGGTTTTGGGGGTGTCTCGTCTATGGTGGTTTTCTTTATGTGGACAGCTGTTTTGGGGTAGAATCTCACATTGGATAATTTGATAAGGTGCGGGCATGTGTTAGTGAATTGGTGCTGTATGTGTTGTGCTGATGCGGAATCGGTGGATCATTTGTTCCTGCATTGTCCAGTGGCCTTGCGGCTGTGGGGTTTTATTTACTCACTCTTTGGGGTTGTTTGGGTTCAACCAAAAGGGGTGTTGGATATGCTTTGGGCTTCGTGGGGTGCTCGGATTGTACGTCAACGTCGGCGGGTGTGGTTATTGGTGCTGTTTGCTTGATGTGGCTTGTATGGTTGGAGTGAAATAGACGAACTTTTCCAGAGGTTTATCATGGTGTCCTTTGGTTAGAGAATCAACTTCTTGTAGTTATGTATAGTTAGTTGGAGAGCACAGTTGATCCAGATTTGTTTGTTTTTCTAGATTTTCTAGATGATATAATTGGGTAGTGCTTGGGACTGGTTTCCCTAATTGGGAATACCATTTGTATTGGTTACATCATCTTGATGTCTTTATTTAAAAAATAAAAAAAAAACTCTTTCGTAAATGTGAGAATTATAACCAGAATATAGCTATTATTATGTTTTACAAGATATTTCTTTGTGTTCTTTTTAGAAACTAGAATGACCATCTTTGTTTAAATTATAATGTATTCTTCAGTTGAAATAGCTTTTGTTCTTCAAGAGCTTGAGTTTGGCTTTATTGAGATTTTTTCCCTAAAACATTCTTAAATTCATATGTTCCTAAGCAGGGAACACGAAATCATGGTTTGGAAGTTGTGGCACCACCCAATATAGGATTCTACCCTTCTTGGCACGAAGAACAAAAATTAGAAACTTTTTATATTTAAGAGTGATGGTTAGTGGTTAGTGAATCCTAAAAGGTTCTTCCTTTTCCAGTCAAATGCAATTTACAAATTGTCCTCTCTGAATTTCTTGCATTCGATTAACCATAGAACCACTTTCACATTCTTCCTGCACAAATGAATAAGGAAAATACAAGAATTCAAGCTTGTGAGTTATAAACTGGTATAGAAAGTAGTGTCAGCGTAGTTTTGGTGTAGTTAAGTATTTCATTCCCAGTATTATATGTAATAATAGTCTTATACTCTTAGTATTAGGATTAGTGTAGCGTACGTTAGTATTACCAAATTGGATAGAAAATTTTAGATCTGCATAACAAATTTGAGCAGAAAACTTAATCCTCACATCAATAATGTGTGTGAACAAGAGTAAATTAGCCCTATAGATAATTTGTACCGTCCTTGTACCATCTTTAGTGTTGCTCCTACTGAGTCTCACAAAGCATCTGCCTCTCCTTACCAAGGTTTGGCTACTTTATAGAAATATTTGAACAACCTTCACCGAACTTCTTAATTTTTTTCCAACATTGACAGCCGTATAGTTACAAGCTTCCCCTTTATTTTTTAAATTTTTTTCCCCTTTATTGACCAGATAACTGATTTCTCCTACCAAAAACTTTCAGTGGTGTTGCTAAATGATAGATACTATTGGCCATATCAACTTACACTTGTTAAACAAATAGCTTTTTTGTCTCCTATCTATCATATTTTTGGATTATATACAGCATTGTATTCACTCCACTGATTCGAGTCCCTGGGCATCTCCATACACTTATAAGTTCAGTGTGAGAGTTTGTTGTCCACAAGGAAATACATAGAACTGTCACTTGACAAATGTCATTTAATGAAGTGTTCTCCCCATGTTGGATGTGCTGATCAGGAAGGTGGCTTCGTTTCTTACTAGCTGCAATTGATAAGAGAGAATAGTGGGGACCAAGGTTTCAAAATGCGGTGTTACGTAACGGTTGCGGCGGTAGGCACCATGCATTGCCCCCGCTTTTGCGGTTTGATTGAGATTCATAGGTGTGTTGGCCGTAAAGGCTGTAATGGCCTGTTACGCAATGTTCTGAACACTTTGTGTTGGGAAAAGAAAAAAAATGCTGAAAAAATATATATATATTATATAGATTTTGTACATACCTTTATGGTTGATTGGTCTACTTTGCATCAAAAAACAGTGAAGAGGGAAGAGGGATAGAGAGAGAAGAGGGAAGAACTAATGTTAAAGATGAAGAGGGAAGATGGAGGAGTGAGATAGAGAGAGAAGATGGAAGAGAAGAACTGTTGTTGTTGAAGATGAAGAACCGATGTTTGATGTTGTCGATGCACCTTGCAAATCTACTGATAAATCAAAAGGTGTTTTTTTTTTTTTCGAGTTGTTGATGATGATGAATGTTGGAGTTCCATCGACACTTCTAGCAAGTAATCCTGTTTCTTGAAATCATTTTTTATTATTGCTTTGATTATGTGTGCCAGCTGTTGTCTTGCCAAAAAAAAAATAATAATAATAATTATTATTTCACTCCTATTCGGCTGCTTCTTCAAATCATTTTTATTATTGTATTGTTTGTGTGTGCCAATTGCTGTTTGCAAAAATAGGGGGAAAAATTATTATTATTGTGTGGTCATTATCTATTTGATAAATCTTGATTAAAATATATATATATATATATATATATATTTAGGCTCTTATTTTAAGTATATTTATTTTTTTATTTTTGTAATAGTTTATTTTATAATAGTTAGTGATTGAGTTTTTTAAAATATCTAGAAAACATAACACTTATAATTATATATTAATATATATTTTATACATTGTCAGTTCTTATTGATTAGTTTATTTTATCTTAAAATTTTTGTCACAAGTGTAATATGGTTTTATGACATAAAATCATTTATTATTGAAATAAAATGTAAAAAGCACATTTTATAGTAATTTAAAAGTATGAAACATATTGGATCATACTTAAAAATTAACAAAAAATGATTATAATTTATTTTAAAACCCAATAAATATAATTTTGAAATTTAAAAGTATGAAACATATTGGATCATACTTAAAAATTAACAAAAAATGATTATAATTTATTTTAAAACCCAATAAATATAATTTTGAAAAAAATATATATATGTATTGGTAAGTTTTTTTTTTCAAATTGTGCGAAAAATAAAAACATTCACAATTCCGGTTATTGCAATCGTTACACTACGATCTTCACACTCCGTAACCGCAATTGCGCTACCACCCCTGTTACAGGCCGCAACCGCTTTTCAGAATCTTGGTGGGGACTGTAGAGAATTGGTCTCTATAACTCTTTCATTGTGTTCTTACTTGGTCTTTTATATTGTGAAAGTCCTCATAACTATTCATCTTTATATCTTTGTCATATTAATTCAATTTATCTAAATAATTTTTCTTGGTGATTCATCAAAATTTCTGCCCATAATTTCCATACTCAAGCAATATTTCTAATTGCTGAGTAAAAACATCGCTGCCCTCAATTTTATGCATTTACTATGAAGACTAATTTAGAAAAATTTTGGTAGCGTTTGATAGAGTTTTCTAAATATGATTTGAGAATATGAGTTGTATTTTGAGTTTGTGAGTTTTGAAATTATGATTTGAGTGTGGAAAATTTGTTTGGTAAATGAGTTTTGAATTGAGTGGAGAATTTTTGATGTGACATGTGATATTTGATACAAAAATTTACAACTCATAACCAAACACACAACTCAAAATTCTATTAAAGCTCAAAATTTTTTTTAAAAATTCGGAAAATATTTTTTTTGAATGTATAAAAATTAACATATGTCAATTGCAAAAAAATAAAAAAATAAATAAAAAATAAAAATAAAATTGCACTGTTTCGGTCAACTGGTCGTACGACCGGTGAGACGTCCAGTGGAACGACCGGTTAGGCCAAATTTCAAATTTTTTTTTTTGAAAATCACGCCTTACACAAAGTTTTCTAAATGTTATGAAAATATAATTTGAACATCCTATCCAAACATCATATTAGAATGTGGGTAAAATTATAGTTTGAAAATTGTTCCAAACACAGCCTTTGGTTACTTGTAGAGATTTTTGGTGGCTGCAATTCTAGAACTATATTTTCCATAACATAACTCATTGTTTAAGTTAATACCATCTGAATTTTGTATTTTGACAGGCAAAAGCATATGATACCGGTTCCACAACTAGCAGTTCAGCATCCTCGGCAGACCAAGCCAAAATTGGAAAATTGGATGGGCTTGTGTGTTAAAACAGGTATTCATTCCAGATTATGAATCTACAATTTTTAGGATTTGCGTTATGTTGTTTTTCTGTTTTGGGATGTGTTGTGTGAAAGGCTTGGCAAAAAACTCACACATGACTTGATAGAAAAACACAACAAAATAACAAGTGAAGTAGAGAACAAACACGAGAGAATTTGAACCCAAAAAAATTCTCTTCTCGTGTTTGTTCTCTGCTTTATTTGTTTATTTTGTTGTGTGTTCTCTGCTTTATTTGTTTATTTTGTTGTGTGTTCTCTATCTAGTCGTGTGTTTGAGTTTTTCGCCAGGCCTTTTGCACAACAAATTGGTATCAGAGCCTAAGGTTCTAACCTTGGCATTGTTCGATTTTGTTGATTTCCTTGTTGGTGATTTATGAAAATTGGAGGGAAGATGTCGGAAGATGGATCTTCGTCTAAACCACAACAAAAGACAATGGTTTCTAATGCTAAGTTCGAGCTAGAAAAATTTGATGGAACAAATAACTTCGGCATGTGGCAATGCGAAGTTTTGGATGTGCCAACTCAACAGGAGTTAGACATTGCTTTGGAAAAAAAAACCCTTGGAGATGGATGAGAAAGAATGGGCAAAGATCAATCGGCAAGCTTGTAGCACCATCAGGCTTTGTCTTGCTAAAGATAAAAAATATTTTGTTATGAAAGAGACTTCGGCCAAGGAGTTGTGGAAGAAATTGGAAGATAAGTATATGACCAAGAGCATCGGAAATCGGCTCTATTTGAAGAAGAAACTCTTAAATTTCCAGTTCAAAACTGGTAATTCCTTGTCTGAGCATTTGAATGACTATAACAAAATTCTTGCTGATTTGCAAAATCTGGGTGTGAAAATTAATGATGAGGATAAGACGGTCTTGTTTTTAAGCTCATTACCTGCCACTTATGATCATTTGACTACTACTTTACTGTATGGAAAAGATGAAATTAAATTTGATGATGTGTGTAATGCATTGATCAATATTGAGTTTCAAAAGAAAGATCAACAAGTTCATTCAGATTCAACGTCCAAAGCTTTGACAGTAAGGGGTAGATCAAATGATAGGAAATTTAGTAAATGAGGAAAGTCTCATTCGATGTCAAGGGAAGTATCATCTGAAAGGAAAATTCTTGCTAAATATGTGTGCTTTTTGTCACAATAAAGGGCATTGGAAAAATGATTGTCCAAAATTGAAAAATAAGGAGAAGAAGAATTCAAAAGCAGTAGCTACAAATGTTGAAGATGACTTGGGGTTTGCATTGGCGACTACTTCAATGGCTTGCCACTCTGAAAAATGGATCTTAGGCCTCGTTTGGGAACAGGCTAATTTAGTAACTTTTTGGCTATTTGGCTAAAATATGAGGTAAAAAAAACTAGTATGTTTGGGATGACTTTTTGGCTAATTACGAAAAGATGTGCAAAAAGTAGAGAGAAAAGAGAATCTTTGACTTTTTGATATGAGTTGTTGGCTTTTTGGCTAATTTAGTAACTTTTTGACTTTTTGGCTAAAACAGAGCCTTCCCAAACGAGGCCTTAGACTCAGGTTGTTCCTATCATGTGTGTCCACAGGAGGACTGGTTTTAAAGCTTCAAGGAAATTGATGGTGGAGTTGTATTGATGGTGATGATAGTAGGCCTTCGAGCCTTTGGAAGAACTTTGTTCTTTGAATGACCTTTGGTCACATGGTGATCATCTTTGATGGATCTTTATTTTGTCTCCTTGTAAGACTTGTTCATTAGCATTTCATGGTCGAAACATTAGGTTTTGTGAGACTTTTAGGTACAGAGGATTTTTAGTTTGATGAGAGAACTAATATTTGGATTTGGTGAGCTTTTTGAGAGTTTACCACTGTTGTAACTCTTCGGAAAACCATTCTCTTCATTAGTGAAATCATTTTCTTTGTGATTGTCCATAGATGTAGGCTTGTGTCGAGCCACGTAAATCTTGGTATTGTGTGATTGTTTCGTTCTCTTAGATTTGCATAATTTGTATGTTTCTCTGTTCCATGTTCATAGCAATCAATTATCTTGGTGTGATTGAGTTTTTTCAGGACTCTCTGCACAACAATTTGGTTTTAAAAAAAAAGATGTCGGGAAAACCCTTCTCGAGGGGGGCAGGGATTCAATGTGGTGGTGATGTATGATTTGAATGATTTTGCTTTGTGCCTCTGGCAGTTGCAGCTACCATCTGGGCTGTATTTTATAACCATGAAATAATATGTACCCAAGCACACATGCACTCTTGCATATACCATAGGGATATTAATTTTGTTATTTGTGTATATCTGCATTTTGCATTGCATGTGATTTGATTAAAAAACGAAAAACAAAAAAACCTCCTTTTCGAGAGCAATTTTTCATTGGAAATGTTATATGTTCGGTTCTGATTGAGACAATATGCTTAGTTTGGTTTGGTTATGTTTCTTATATTGCAGGAGCTTGCGAACAAAAACAAGTATCTCAAGCTTCTCATAGATCAGCTACGGGATCTTATAACTGACGTATCAACATGGCAAAGTCCTTGTTCTGTCTAATGTTCCCCGAGGATTAGTATGTAAAATGGCCGCATATTTGTCTGTCGGTTTTGGCTTAGTTTGGGAAGTGTGTTGGTTTTTTATTTTTTTTTGGGGCTATTTTAGCCTAGAACTAAAAAGTTTGATTTGAGAAGGATTTTTGACTTTTTTGTGAGAGAAATAATGTAATGATTATAGGTTGGATGTGATGTTTTATTTTATTGGGACTAAAAAGTTTATTTTATTTTTGGGCAAATTACACTAACAGTCCCTATAGTTTGAGACTCGTGTCACTTTGGTCCCTGACTGTTTAATTGTGACACATTTGACCATACATTTTGAATCTTGTTCTAAATAAGGGCAATTTTGTGACACATTTGACCATACATTTTGAATCTTGTTCTAAATAAGAGCAATTGAAGATACCATTGTTTAATTTTAAGGGCAAAATCGTTAATTTAATAAAATATAAATTAATTTGACAAAAATAAATGTCGAAAAAATATATTTAATTTTTGAAAAATTATTTTTATCCACCAATGATAAAATTATGTAAAATTAATAAAAATTACATGATTAATTTAAAAAAAATAATTTTACATGATCATTATCCAAACACATAATAAAAATTAATTTGGTAAAAAAAAATAAATGTCTAAAGGATTTATCAATTTTACATAATTTTATTTTTAATGGATAGAAATAATTTTTAAAAATTTAAAAATATTTGTTTGACATTTATTTTTGTCAAATTAGTTTATATTTTATTAAATTGACGATTTTACCCTTGAAAAATCTAATGATATTTTTAATTATCTTTATTTGGAATAAGATTCAAAATTTATGGTCAAATGTGTCACAATTGAAAAGTCAGAGACCAAAGTAACACAAGCCCAAACTAAGTCAGAGACCAAAGTAACACAAGCCCAAACTATAGGGACCATTAGTATAATTCACCCTTTATTTTTTGTGACTATTTTAGTCCCAAACTCACCCAAACCCACTTCTCAAACAGTGCCTCTGTCAAGCTGCAAATTTATTCAACAAAGTTGTTCGTAAATTGGTTGGCTAGCATCCAACAATTAAAGTAGAAATTAGTTCTGGAATGTGCAGAACGTCTGTCATATGAATGATGTGTTGCGAACTGAAGCATTATTTTTTTATTAAACTTCTCTGATAAATCCCGACTTACGACTCTATGGATCCAGAATTGTAACTTAGCAGCCCGATGATTAGTGGATAACTAGTGAGTGCATTTGAATTTGGATTCTCTTAGAACCTGTTCTGTTCAAACATGCTCTCTATCTAGATGACGACTGGATAGACCCTTTTACAGTTTACTTTGCGTAAGATGAGCTAATTTGAGCCAATTAAATTAATTAGGCCTAATAGTCCAAGGTCAGTGGGCCCAAATTTATTGTAAATCCAAGATTGGTGGGGCCGGATTTATCGCCATCAAACGGGCCGAATCGCTCTAAGCCTTGAAAGGGTTTGGATCCACAAACTTAGAGACTTACTCGGGCTCAGACTCGAAAGGGTTCAGATCCACGAACCTAGGAATCCGAAGCACTTGACTTCGAACGGATTCAGACACAATCTAGAAGCCGCTTCGTTAATGAGTCCCAGAACACTTGCAGACTCGGAACTTTTCGGGATTTACGTACTAGAACCATGGGCGTAATGGAGTCCGAACAAAGGACCCGATCCCGAGGACGGTGAGTGGAGATAAATTCACTCTTCGATTAAACTAGCCTATCTCCGGGTTGAGGTGACATGATCTAGGAGGTCCCTAAGACTCGGCAATATTTGCGGCAGGGCGTTCTCTTGAACTACCCCTGACCCTTCTGCGGCAGGGCGTCCTCTGGGACTACGCCTGACCCTTTGGGATGATTGAGGATCATTGGCTAGGTGTGGCTAGGAAGAAGGGTTCGCTGAGAGGTTGATCTCTTCATCGGGGTTTTCCTCATCCTCGGAGAGGTCACCTCCTCGGACAAGGTTGTTAGAGAGAATATTCCCCATGTGCCTTGCACATGAGTTCCATCCTACATCATGAGGTGTCTATAAATAGCACCCACCCATAGCTTTACAAGAGATGGATTTTGGAGAGAAAACTCTTGGGAAAGAACTAATTTCCCTTCTCCATTATCAACCTTGACAGTGAAAGTGGGAGATCCATGGGAGTGCTTTGTCATTATTCTCTCTCTAGCTACTTTGCCTTCTTCTTCACCCAATCTCTTGTTTCCATCATCTCTTTACTTTTGTGTTCTTAGTTGAGACTATTGAAGAATCTAAGCCTCTCATCATCTTCTAGAGAATTCGAATTTTTCTTCAAAGATCTTCGAATCTTCCAACGACGTTCTTGAACCCTTTCATACATTTGGCGACTTTGCTGGGGAAGCGGATTGGTTAATGGTCTCAATAAGATTTGGAATCTACACAACTCCGGTGAAGATGGTAGGAGAAGAAGAAGTTTATCAACAAGGCACTTCCAATGGTGGTGATGAAAGGACTGAAATTCAAGACCCACCTCTCATCCTAGAAGCCATTCAAGGATTCTAACACATTCAACAAGAGATTTTCACGACCCTTCAAAATCTCACCCACACCATATTGGTGATGGATTCGAATTTCGCACCACCAGCAACAAATAGGGGTCAAATCGGCGCCAACAAGCATCAACTTCATGGTAATGTTGGGAGTAGTCAAAACCATCAAGATCCACTCCAAATTCTCCCTGAAGTTGTACAAAATGGTGTGCAAAATCAAGTGCTAGAAGAAACAAGTTATGACCAACCTGCGGCCCATGGAGCGCAAAATCACGCACCTGGGGATCGAGCCATGGTCCAACGGTGGTTGGAGGAGTTTCCGGCACAATGAATGGTGTTCCAGCGGTTATGGAAATTCAAGGAAGGCCTACAGAAATTTCTCTACAAAATGGTGCTCCATCCATGCCTAATTTTTTTCCACGGATTGTAAATTCTACTCATGTACCAAGTGGGTTTCCTTTGGCTCCGACGCCAAGTTTGTAGGTTCAACCTAGTATAGCCGTGGCGTGCAATGAACTTTATGGGACCCAATGCAATGTCCCATCACCAAATGGCATGTCCATAGGTGCTGATGGCCAATATCATCATGTGTCTTCATTGATGATGAATTCTCAACACCAGAGTGACCAAGTTGTTCCTAGTTCAATCTTCGGGTCCACAAGCCAAGTTTCGGGAATACCACCATCAAGTTCTCTCCCTCAACAATTTCTTACTCTCGCTGATGTACAAGCCATGTTCGATCTCGAACGGGGCAAGAGGACTTTATCCTCTTTGCTCGATCCAGATGTCAAGCCACCATACCCTATTGAGATGTTGAGTTATCCATATCCAAAGGGGTACATGGTGTCGAAGTTCATCAAATTTAATGGCAAACAAGGAAATGCTCGAGAACATGTTGTTCGATTCATCGAGACTTTGGGAATTCATGGTTCAAATCATGTCCTTCGGCTAAGAGAATTCTCCAAGTCCCTCACTGACCGAGCATATAGTTGGTACGTGAACTTGGCCCCAAACTCTATCCGAAGTTGGGAGGAGATGGTCAACAAATTCCACGCCAAATTCTTTCAAGTGGCTGAAAAAGTAACAACACTCACCCTGTGTAAAGTAAAGCAACGAGAAGGTGAAGAGATTCTCGAATATGTGAAGAGGTTCCAAGACAAAGCCGTGGACTGTCATGAGGCTGTAGAGGAAAGCTACTTGGTCTAAATCTGTGTTGAAGGGGCATTGAACGGGTACAAAATG